GTTGACGCGCCCGGACGCGGCTAGCTCCGGAATCTGTGCAAGCTTCTTCTCTCGGCGAGGCCCAGACCCTCGTTCAGGTCAAGCGGCGTATCCTGGCCGGCATACAGGCCCTTGGCGAGCCAGCGCTTGACACGCCGTCCCTTGCGCGTATGAAGCTCGAGCGTCTCCTCACTCTTTTCGCCGTCCTTCTTTGTCTCGTCCACCTTGGCCTTCTCTACTTCCGAGGGAACCTTCGTCTTAGCCTTCTTCCGGGCAGGGCCATTTTCAAGCTCCTCGGGAGTGACCAGCTTGCCATTGGCCCAAATGGTGTGGTATACAGGCTTCGTCTCTACTTTGGCAAACTCGTTCGTGTCCCTGAGGCGGAGAAGTTCTCTGGAGACTTTGCCAATGCCCTGTTCGAAGGCCTTGCGCCCGCGCTTGCCGAGAGAGGTCGCTTTGGACGTAAGGACATCGACCTTGGCCGGGGCGTCGCGCGCTGAGGCTCGAGTCGTGCGAGGAGTGCTGGGCTTCTCCTGGGCCGACTTGCCCGGGGTCTTGAGGCCTTGCATAGACCATTGCAGATTCAACGCGTCAATGCCGTCGCGTACGAGAGGGTCAGAGGAGCGCGGCGTGGTAGAGAGAGCGTCTCCGAGGCTGGCTCGCTTTCTGCGGCCATTGCCCTTTGCGGCGGTGCCGCTCAGTTGAGAGAGGTTATAGACGGGATTGCTGACGCGAGCCCTCCGGGCACGCCCGGCTGCGGGCGGCTCTTGAGCGGTCGACGGCGCGTCAATCTGAGACGTATTATGGGGTGTGGCAGAGACCTCAGGTAGAGGCTCCGTGGCGACAATGACAGTCGCTTGAATCTCGGGTACAGGTGTGGTCTCGACCTTGATGCCTTCGGAGGCTATAGAGATGTTGTCGGAGAAGTTGGTAGGTGGTGTTGAGCTGAGAGACGCGACATGCGAGGAGGATTCGAGGTCGAGGGCCACAGCGCCAAGGCTGCTCTGGCTCGATGGCGAGAGAGACATGGCGAGGCGATTCGCGTGACGCTACAGGTCGACGCGTTATGTGAAGTTGGTAGGGGCCAGGAAAGTTGGGCGCGCCCTGCGAGGCGATTACGACGCGTAAATAGTGCTATGCTCGGCAAATGGGGGTTGAGGGGCTGTCAAAGAAGACGCGAAATTGGAAAAGGAGAAAAGACGTGCGGTCGCAAGCTCAAGAGGAGAGAAAGATATGTGAGATTCGGTCTAGTGCAGGAAAGAGATTGACGAAGAATTGGTATTGCAGGAGAAATGCAAAAGGTTGCGTGCTGATGATGACAGAGATGTGAGGGAGGAGAGAAGGAGGTGTGGAAAGTAAAGGTCGGTCGCCTGCACGTCGGCGCGTGTATGGGAGGAGTAGGAGGAGTAGTAGTAGGAGTAGGTGGTAATAGTAGCGCAGCGTGGCGGAGGAGGAATTGGAGGCGATGTACCCAAGTACCTTCCTTACAGTACCTACCTACCTGCCAAAACGTCTGGCAGGGAAGGTGGAGGCAGGTGCAGGTGCAAGTGGAGGCGGAGGCGCGGTCCAAGTGCTGGGAAATGCCAGAGGGGGAAGGGGAGGAGGATGAAAGGAAGGAACAAGCCAACGCAAGCTCCAGGGTCGGTCCTGGACTCCTCCCTAAGGGCAGGTCCGTTCAGGAGGTCCCGTTCAAGAGACGGAGAACGGAAAGCCCCGCAGCAGTGGTCGTATCGCCTCGAGAGCCTGCAAGTTTGACGGTGATCAATCCCTGTTGACGAAATCTGCTGAAGGTTCGGGCAGGTCAGGGGGGGCGGGGGGCGGGGGGGGGATTCCGGGAGGACAGAGGAGATTGTCGCCAACTTGAGCAAGGTACGCACGCAGCTGTGGCCTTGCAGTTGCCGTCGTTGCTGTCCTTTGTCGTTGCACAATCTTCCAAGCGCCGCGCGGCTATAGAAATATGTGCGCGTCCAATGTCGAATCGTCTTTCTGCTGGCTCTGGACCATGTAATGTGGTCGAGACGAGCCGTCAAAGGAAGGATGCCACTAATTCAAGCTGAACAGAGCTGCGCTGCGCTGAGCTGAGCTGAGCTGAGCGAATGTGCTGCTCTTGTGCTTAGGAATGGGGGTAGGTGTGTGAGATGAAGGAGAAAGCATGGGAAATTGATGGGAGCGGCTGGATGGGGTTTGCCAGGTCAGGCAAGGTAAGTATGAGCGCGCGATTCACGTGCACCTCGTCAGCTTTCTTGTCTCGGCCGCCCCCCTCACTCTCCCCAGGGAAGGCAACACTGTCGTCAGTATTAAGGCTAAGAAGGGCGTGCCGTCATTGGATGTGCCGACGGCGTTGAAGTAACGCTGGCCCAGTAGATGAGGATA